CTCAATTCTTAAGAACATGCCAGGCATTCCCACAATGACGGAGCCCTCAGCTACTCCATGGGAAATCACAAAAACAATGTTTAGCTAATTATTAGGACCTTAGTGTCCAGTTCAGTGGTCTCCCATCTTCGTTCCTTTTTAAAAAAATATATATGTTTTTATTGATTTTGTTAGAGAGGAAGGAAGAAGGAGAGAGAGATAGAAACATCGATGATAAGAGAGAAACATCAATTGGCTGCCTTCTGTACACCCTACTGGGGATCAAGCCCATAACCTGGGCATGTGCCCTGATCGGGAATCAAACCAGCGACCTCTTGGTGCATGGGATGATGCTCAACCAAATGAGCCACTCCAGCCTGGCCATCTTTGTTCCTTGATGGCTGATGTTGACACATGTGGACTGCTCCTCTGGGTTCCCCACAGCATGCTGGCCACATGTCCCTCACACTGTCCAAGCAAAACCCTCCTAAGAACCTGCTCCAGATAGGCCTCTTCCCGGAATCCCCGCATAAAGTGTCCCTTTCATTTGGGAGAGCGGTGGTGGTATCCAGGAACTTCTTGTGAGGGAAGCCGGCAGCCCCACCTCTTGCTGGTGATGGCTCCAGTCTGGAAACTGCTCATCTCTCTGCTGCCATAGGAAGAATTACATTACTAGCAGAACTAAAAGACCAGCCAGAAAAACCATTAGGAAGAGTACAGCAGCTGCAGAAGAAGTGTAGAGACCTCAGAAATTACTGTATGTGGAACTGGATAGGAATAATTGATTATTATCCAAAAATTGTCAAATGGACCAGTGGGAAATGAGTTCACAAAGGCAACTAAGTCCTTTTATTTTTTTTAAATGTGTTTTTATTGATTTCAGGGAAAGAAAGGGAGAGGGAGAGAGAGAGATAACAACATCAATGATGAGAAAAAATCATCAACCAACTGCCTCCTACACGCTCCCTACTGGGGATCGAATCCGGGCCCTGGGAATCGACCATGACCTCCTGGTTCATGGGTCGACGCTCAACCATTGAGACATACCAGCCAGGGCAGCAGCTAAGTCCTTTTAAAGTCATTTAAGTGAGCTGCAGTCAGCACTGACAGTGGCAGGGTTCTTCAGGTGCGCTCTGCCGGGGAACATCCTGAGCGAAGCACTTTTTCGTGAACTCGGGAAGCCTGTCTTTCTGCTGGGAATGTTGACATCCAAAATTTCCAGTTAAGACCATTGTAAATCTGGTCCCTGTTGAGAAAATTAGATTAGACTCCACTTAGATCACATTTGGCCTAATGATGTTTAGTACCTCCTGGGGCCCAATATTCCCCAATGTGCATTAATTGTGAAGTGAGATTATATGTCATGAGGAAACGTGGTGATAATCTGGATTATAAAGTACCAGAAGCTTCTAATGGAGCGGGATGTTTATGTTTCAGTTTCATAAATTCTTTACGAAGGAGGTAAACACTTTTAACCCGAGTGTTCAGATTATGCCTGCCTATGGGGCCTTCTTCTCGGGTCAGTTGTGATTCAGGGAAACCTGGAGAATGTATGAAGGCTGCAGTGACTATATTCACTTAGGTCCAGGCTGGGTTTCTCAGTCTTGGTGCTGTTCATATTGGGGCCAGATAGTTCTTTGTTGTGGGCACTGTTCTGTGCATTGTAGGATATTGGGCAGCATCCTGGGCCTCTAGACAGCAGCAGCATCCCTCCACCCACCCCTCCCAGTCGTGATCACCAGAAATGTTTCCAGACATTATCAAATGC